CCTCTCATCTCGCTCTCTTTCCTCTTTCACTCTCTCTCTCCCTGTGTGCCTCTGTCTCTTTCTTTCTCTCTCTCTCTCTCTCTCTCTCTCTCTCTCATTCGCTCCCCCCTCTCTCGCTCTGTCTCTCTCCCTGTGTGCCTCTGTCCCTCTCTCTTTCTCTTTTTCTCTCTCTCATTCGTTACCCCCCCCCTCTCTCTCTCTCTCTTCTCTTTTCTTCTCTTCTCTCTCTCTCTCGCTAATTAGGTGAAAATATCGCTGACAATCATTGTAAACATTTAATCATTGATAAAAGTGATATTCAATTTCTTTCATTAAAGTTTTTTTTTCTTAATGACTGTACGAGTCCGTTGCAAGTGGTAGTTTTGCTATTATCGTCATTTGCATCAATTTGATTTGAGATTAAAGGCGTCGTTGGCAGTTTTCAATGTAGTTTTAGAATACTCTGCAACGTTTAACTTTCGACAAGTACACCTTATAAAGTAAAAGTGAAGTACCGCACATTTGGAAAAAAAAAAATACAGCAAATAAACAAGATCATATATGAAAAAGAAAAAAAAATATGATATATATGATAAAATATAATAATATTCATAACGCTATGTTATATAGCACTCAGAAGTAGGAGAAGATAAAGAGAAAAAAGACAAGAAGAAAGAAAAGAAGAAGAAAAGAAAAAAAGAAAAAAGAAAGAAAGAAAGGAAGAAGAAAGAAGAAAAAAAAATCCGAAAAAAATCCGAAATCTTCTCCGCTCGTAGATAACATGATAAAAGAGAATGGGAAGAAACAAAGAAAAGAAAGAAAAAGAAAGAAGACAAAGAAGAGAAAGAAAGAAAAAAGAAAAATAAGACAAAGATAAAAAGAAAAAGAAGACAAAAATAATAAAAGAAGAAGGAGAGAGAGAAAGAAAATAGAAAAAAAACGAAAAAAAAACTTTCTTTATAATGCTATCGAATACCATTCTAGTGAAATCTAAAACCTTCTCCGCTTTTAGATAACACGAGAGAAGAGAATAGGAAGAAATAAAGGAAAGAAAGAAAAAGAAAAACGACCTTAGAACTTTCAGAGATTCGTATCGAAGCGAAAGGAAATAGGTTCCCATCCATTAAAAAAAAATACATTTGTATCCCCACGAAATAAAGTATGTCCGTATATGTATAGAAAACGGAATCTTAAGTTCACAGTAACCTATCTATATCATTTAATCTAATTAAAATTCTTAAATGCAAACAACAGAAAAAGTTAATAAACATGAGAGTAATATAGATTATAACAGCCATTGATGATAAAAAGAAATAGTAGCAGTAATGATGATTATGATAATAATATCAATAATGATAATGATAATAGTGATTATATTGAGATAATAATAATAATGATAATGATAATACTAATGATAATGATAAAGATGATAATGATACGAATAGTGATGATAATGATTATGATGGGGATGATGACGATGATAACAGTAATATAATAATAACAACAACAATAATAATGATAACGGTAATGGTAATAATATAAGTGATGATAATAGCAATGATAATGATGATGATAATGATTGTGATAATTCAATTAAGATGATGATAGTAATAATGGTAATAAGAATAGTAATGATAATAATGATGATTACCATCAGTATTGATATTAGTATCATCATTATCACTATCTTATATTGGTGTTGAAGGTGATGAGAGGGAGGTGGTAGAGAATGATGTTGATAATCATTATGATGATAACGATAAGGCATGACAATATTAGATAAATTAATGCTAATCATACTAGTACTAATACCATTAACGTTAACACTGATGAAACAAAAATAATAATTGGTAATTATAATTGTAATAACATTAGTCAATAACTCTACATTTATAACATTCCCCAAAGAAGGTAAGGGAAAGACGAAGAAAAAGAGACGAAAAAGCAGGAAAAATCAAAGACAAAATTGGAAAAAAAACGTAATAATTGATAATTATAATTGTAATAACATTAGCATTTTTACTCTGAATATCAAGGACTCTAGATTTATAACCTTCACCAATGAAGGTAAGGGAAAGACGAAGAAAAAGAAAGAGGCAAAAAAGCAGGAAAAATCAAAGACAAAATTGGAAAAAAAACGTAATAATTGATAATTATAATTGTAATAAACACTAGCATTAAGTTTACTCTGAATCAATAGTTCAATAAGTCTGTATCGGAAATACATTGCGTTTCTCAGTACCGAGTTAACGAGGTTTGAGAGAGAAAGGTTGCCAAGTTGGATTTCCTTCAAGTTATTTTTTGTTGATACATGTTAGGTGAGATGAATGAGCTTTACGAAGTGTGTTAATTGTATTAGTATATATATATATATATATATATATATATATATATATATATATATATATATATATATATATATATATATATATATATATATATATTTATTTATTTATTATCTATTTATATATATATATATATATTTATATATATACACATATATATGCATATATATATATAT